AAAAAAAAAAAAAAAAAAAGGAAGAGAAAAAAAGAACAGACCTAACTGGAGGGATACCAGGTAGTAGGCTCCGAAGAGCACGGAGGACGGTGTGATAAATAACAAATATATCTGGTCTATGTTACTCAGTTCCAGGCACAGAGCTCCAAAACTCTTGGAATTTCCTGAGTGACAGGAGTGTCTGGTTATTTATAATGAGCCCCTTCTCACCATACCCGAGTTTGTGCTAATACAGTAACTTGGTTTCAAGGAAGGGGCTGGCCATGCCAGGGAGACCAAGCACGTGATTAGAGGGTTGGAGCTTTCAGCCTCAGCCGCTTCCTCCACTTCCAGGGGCTAGAGGTTGGCATCAAACACGTGGCCAGTACTTTAACCACTCATGCCTACTGAACAAAACATCCACAAAAATCCTGGACGTTATGGCTCAGTGAAGCTTCCTGATTGGTGAAGACACTGATGTGCGCTGGATGATGCACATCAGTGGGGGTGTTGTGGGAAGCTCCAATTTTGCAGTCAAGCTGGACACATGTATGGCTGGCCTGGGGACCTCATTTGCAGCTGGCATCTGAAATAAGGGGTCTTGCTGGTGACCTTGCTCTTTAACTCCTGGGGTCTGATGCTAACTCCAGGCAGTCAGTGTCAGAATTGAAGGATCGGCCCTTGACCTGTGGGGTCTGCACTATGTCTGAGCAGTTAGTGTCAGAATGGAATTGAATTGACTGTCAGGACCCTGGTGGGCATCCAAATGCAAAAGGCTACAGGGGAGCCTTAAAGAAAGCCAGAGCTGTGGAGATGAAAGGAGGAGGTGGATTTATGAGGCATCATGGAAGCAGACAGTACAGGACCCCACTTCGAACCCAGGTGTGACAGAAAGAGGAAGTGTTGAAGATGACACTGAGGATTTGCCTATAAAACCAAGACACTGTAGTTCTCTTACTGGAAACAGAGAAGCTCATAGGAGGTGCTGATTCTCAGGGACAAAACTCAGGGGGAGAGAAGGGAGGAAGCAAAGAGCTCATTTCTAGAAAACTGGACTTCAAAGTGCTGACCAGTGTTCAGACAGAACCATCTCACAACCAGCTGGAAATTCAGGTTGCAAGTGAAGCAAGATGTCAGGGGAAAGGATGGAAGCTTCAGTTATCCGCAGAGGGTGGAATTTGCATTTGGCAGAGTAGATAAGATGCCAAGGGAGGAGCAAGAAAAATTAATAAAATAAAAATAATAATAATAATATTAAAAAAAAAGATGCCAAGGGAGGAAGAGGGCAAAGGATAAAGAGTACTTTGAGAAGTACACAGGCAAAGGGAAGAAGTGAGGTGACCCAGAGAGGAGTTCTACATACAAAGTATGTGTGGCAAAAGGTGCAGAACAATGGCAGACCACTGTTTCCTTGCCATGGCCTCAGATGTGCTCACATGCCCAGATGCCATCACCACGCAAACACGAGACTCAACCACGGCTTTTCCTGTAGTGCTTCATAGAGCCTTTTTACATAGAGCCTTTACTATACTAACAGGCACAGAGCTTCAGGGCAGCCTTTGCTGAGGCTCTTCAAAGATTAGTCAAGAGCTTGATGAGTTTGAGAAATATTGGTTTAAAAATAGCAGTTCAGCTGGGCACAGTGGCTCATGCCTATAATCCCAGCACTCTGGGAGGCTGAGGCAAGCAGATCACCTGAGGTCAGGACTTCAAGACCAGCCAGACCAACATAGTGAAATCCTGTCTGCACTAAAAAATATACAAAACTAGTTGGGCATGGTGGCACATGCCTGTAATCCGAGTAGCTGTAATCCAGCTACTCGGGAGGCAGAGGCAGGAGAATTGCTTGAGCCTGGGAGGCGGAGGTTGTGGTGAGCCGAGATCACGCCATTGCACTCCAGCCTGGGCAACAAGAGTGAAATTCTGTCTCAAACAAATAAAATAAGAGTTTTGCTGAGCAAGTCAGGAGAAGCAGAAGGAAAAGTGGTTATCAATTGAGAGACGTGCAGTTGAGGGTGCTAGCAACTAATATCACCAACACACAAATACAAGCAACAGATACAGATAGCACTTCTTTTAATAGCCTTAAATTCTTTTCCTCCAGATATACATTATCTATACATCAATGGTATAAATGTATGTTTCTCCCTCTATAAAATAGCCTTTATATAAATACTGAAGATGATTACAAAAACTGATTTATATCAAATACATACTAAGTCAATCAAGCATCTGGAGAGCTACTCTATAGCCTCTACTTAGCTTTAAGTTCTTCCGAAAGGTAAAAGAAATGAAATCAACATTTGTATTACACATATTTGTATTACACATGAACCTACATTTACACAAGCCAACAAAAATGTGTGTTTGCCTGTAGGAACTGAGAGGACTCTGGGCAACTGTCGGGATTATGAAAGGAAAAGCTGCGGCCTACCCCAAATATGCTCGTTTCCTTTGCCTCAGGAAGGCTGAAAGGGAAGCTGGCTGAGAGGTAACTCTGGAAGCCACAGCTGGAGTTTTATCTCAAAAGACAAGCTTTAGAGCATCATTTAAAAAAGCCAACCTTAGATATGATTGCTTTGGCTTCTTCTAAAGTCTTCTTTAACACTTGCTTCATTTTCTCATTTGGAGCTATGAAGATAAAAAGGAGAGAGGGAGAGACAGAGCTGTCAAATACATAGCCTCTTTAAAACTCTTCTGAAATATCTCAGTCCCTTCTGTCTGAGTCAGGGGTAAGTGAACTGAGAGAGTGCAAGTGTAGAACTTAGGGAAGAGAGGCAAAAAACTTGGCTGCAGGAAATTAGGTGAAGATCTCTTCCCAACAGCAGAGACCTGGAGTGTGCTTTCTGCAAAGTGGCAAAGGCTACAAAAAACCAGAAATGCATGTCGTTGGATGAACAGGGTCAGTGAATTTTTTCTGGAAAGGGACAGATAGTAAAATATTCTAGGCTTTGCAGGCTACACAGTCTTGTTGGGTGTAGTTACTCAGCTCTACCACAGCAGCACAAAAGGAAACAGTACTTAAGTGAATGGGGTGGCTGCATCCCCATACAATTTTATTTACATGAAAAGGCAACTGGCTGAATTTGGCTTGTAGCCCATAATTTGCTGACCCCTAGAGCAGGAAGAAATAATAACTTGAAAGCTTAGAAACAAACAAACAAAAAAAATGAAGATGAAATGCCCAAATATAGGGAAAACGGGGCAAGTTGAAAGCATATATTCCTAATAAATAACACAATTAGACATTGAAAATATTAGAAACACAAGATTGTATTAGAACAGAAGTGGTTAGGCCAGGCGCAGTGGCTCACGCTTATAATCCCAGCACTTTGGGAAGCCAAAGTGGATGCATCACCTGAGGTCAGGAGTTCTAGACCAGCCTGGCCAACATGGTGAAATCCCGCCTCTACTAAAAATACAAAAATTAGCTGGGCGAGGTGGCAGGTGCCTGCAATACCAGCTACTCTGGAGGCTGAGGCAAGAGAATTCCTTGAATCCAGGAGGCAGAGGTTGCAGTGAGCTGAGACTATGCTACTGTACTCCAGCCTGGACCACAGAGTGAGGCTCCATCTCAAACAAAACAAAACAAAACAAAAACATACTGGTTTAAGGATGAATACTGAACTGTTAACTGGCTCTCATATTTTTTTTTTCTTCATTGATATAATTCCTTCTGAAAATTAGACTCTCTCTAGATTGAGAATGAGTTTAGGTAAGAAAGATATGGAAGACAACCACTTTTCAGGTTAACATTCAAAGGAAATAATACTAGGAATTCCTATTATCCCTGGTATTTTAAAAACTATATTTTTGAGCTTGTAAAGGACTTACAGGGATCCTGTCCTGCTCCTAACAGTGTTTTAGGTCTGATCAATTACAGCTTTTTAAATGGAGCTTTCAGTGCAGGTTAAAAAGAATAAGCTATCAAAAAGGATTATTATCAATTCCACATGATCAGCCAAATACTGAAAGGAGAAGAATTTCTTCAGTGTTTTGCCACGTACTAAAGTGCTCGGCCCCAGGGAGAGGCAGGTCCTTGATGAGTGAAGTCCCTGTGCTGACATTCTTTCCCTTTCCTCTTTCACACAGTATCTCTAAAGATACCCTGACCTCTGCAAACAGTAACAAAACATAACGTTGAATACATTTCAGTAAGTATCTGCCAACAATTATTAGGTTGAACCATATGAAGTTGCCAATACTCCACCATTTTTGACCTACAGAAGGGAAAGGGTCATTTCATCTGGTTCATCGAATATATTTAAAAGCGAGCTGCAACTTATTAAGAGCAAGACAAAACTTCCTTTATCTACCTAATTCATCCTAGATTAGAGTTTTACCACAGGAGCCACAGAGTGCAGTATTTTGTAAGTCTATAGAGAAATTATGAGGTCGATTTTTGAACGAAAAGAACTGCTTTCTCACACCTGTAATCCCAACACTTTGGGAGGCTGAGGAGGGCAGATCACTTGAGGTCAGGAGTTTGAGACCAGCCTGGCCAACACAGTGAAACACTGTCTCTACTAAAAATACAAAAATTAGCCAGGCATGGTGGCGCATGCCTCTAGTCCCAGCTACTCAGGAGGCTGAGGCAGGAGAATTGCTTGAACCTGAAAGGAGATTGCAGTGAGCCGAGATCACACCACTAGCGCAAGACTCCATCTCAAAAAAAAAGAAAAAAAGGAACGGTTTTCATACTTATGGATATATCAAGCATGACACAGAAGAGAAATGCTCACTTACCTTGTCCATTCCTTCGTCCAATATCATCCTTTTTAAATACAGCACCGCCGCTGGGTACACATTTTTCACCCCACTCATCCTTTAATTTCAACTCTTCAATCTGATCATCGGTCAGTCCTTGCATATTAGGAGGGAGAAAAATGCCATGTTCTGCTAATTCTTCCATTTCTTAAAAATAAGCAAAAGACAGTATCACAGTCATCATCATAACATCTCATACCCCATTGGAATGTAGGCTGCCAAGGGCCAGGGGTCTTGCCCATCTGGCTCACTATTTTGTGGAAAAAACATTTATATGTCACTTGCTAAGTGCCAGACCTGGCCTGGACCCTTGACAAGGAGTCACTGATCCACCCATCCTCAGCCAACAGCACAGGGAGCTCGGGAACTCGTCACCTGTCCCAGGCAGTCAGCCTGTAGATTCTGTGCTCCAAACATTTGTGCTATCTTATGCTTCCTGGAACTCAGGAGGGGCAAAATTACTACTCTTTGAACACCTGAATATATATTCACATGGGTTTTATAGTTTTCCAAGTGCGTTGACATGGACTATCTCATTTAATTTAAACTTGTACATTAGGCAAAGCAGTTATGAACTTCCCCCCACATTCCTTACTTTACGATTGTATCATGTCAGGCTTGCTCAGATGACACAGCTGCAGCTGATGTATTTTTTTTTTTTTTTTTTTGTCTCAAACTCCTGGCCTCAAGTGATCCACCCACCTCAGCCTTCCGAAGTGCTGGGATTACAGGCATGAGCCACTGAACCTGGCCTGAGACCTTCTATAAAACTTCATGTCAAGACTTCATAAATAATTTATACAAATCAGTGGGGAAGATTTAAAGCAGCTTACATCCCTCAAAGGTAGCAGAGACGGGACAAGGGACTTGGGTTTCTAGTATCATGTTCACTATTCAAAAACATAGCTATTTTTCCTAATCCTTATATTTTCACCCCAAAACCAGTCCACATTTTAACCTTGCAAAATCACCTTCCTTCCTCCCTCTCTTCTTCCTTCCTTCCTGTGAAGGAGGCACCTGGATCTAGGTGTTCCCATAAAACTGTCTGAGGACATCACCTGACCTGAAAGAACACATTATGAACAAATGGTATCACTGAATGGGATGTTTCTTGTCTCTCTCCCCATTGCAGTCTAAGCTACTTATTTCTTAAAAATAAAGGGAGGTTAGACAACATCTATCACAGTCATCATTATAACACCTCATACCCCATTGGAATGTAAGCTTCCAGGGGTCAGGGATCTTGCCCATCCGGCTCACTATCTTATGGAACAAACATTTATATGCCACTTGCGATGTGCCTGGACCTCTGACATGGGGGCACGGGACTGGTCTTATTGATCCTTGTCTTTTTTTTCTCTGAGACAGGGCCTTGCTCTGTCACCCAGGCAGGAGGGCAGTGGCGCAATCTCAGCTCACTATAGCCTCCGCCTCCTGGGTTCAAGCGATTCTCATGCTTCAGCCTCCTGAGTAGCTGGGACTACAGGCACGTGCTAGCATGCCAAGCTCTGTTTTATATTTTTAGTAGAGAAAGGGTTTCACTATGTTGCCCAGGCTGATCTAGAGCTCCTAAGCTCAAGGGATCTGCCTGCCTCAGCCTCTCGAAGTGTTAGGATTACCTGTGTGAGCCACGGTGCCTGGCCCCATCCTTATCTTCTAAAGGCTGAGCACTAGTGCCTGCCTGAGTCACAGCTGACACTGGTGACCGCAGAATAAATCAATGAATTCTAAGTTCACTAATGGGACTCTTAGCATTCAGCACATTTATATGTTTATAATGTTCTAGAAAAAGAAGACGAATTCCTTTTCTCCGCAAATGCTTTAACTTAAAAATAACATTTAGCCGGGCGCGGTGGCTCACGCCTGTAATCCCAGCACTTTGGGAGGCCGAGGCGGGTGGATCACGACGTCAAGAGATCGAGACCATCCTGGTCAACATGGTGAAACCCCGTCTCTACTGAAAATACAAAAAATTAGCTGGGCATCGTGGCGCGTGCCTGTAATCCCAGCTACTCAGGAGGCTGAGGCAGGAGAATTGCCTGAACCCGGGAGGCGGAGGTTGCGGTGAGCCGAGATCGCGCCATTGAACTCCAGCCTGGGTAACAAGAGTGAAACTCCGTCTCCAAAAAAATAAAAATAAAAAAAAATAACATTTAATATTGCATTTGTCCTGCAAGCTCAATTAAGAAACTACACATAAGTTTCATGAAAAGAACCATGACCCTCAAAAATTTCTCCACGGTGCAAAAATTACATATTCATGCAATGTAATAAATACATTTAATAATAAATCACATATTCATGTAATTTAATAAGTCACGTAAATAAATGTACTATTTATTTTTATATTTTCTATATGTACATAATGACAGTTAAATAAACACTTAGTAATATCCTAGACCACATCAGGAAGTATCATCCTGTCAAGTTCAAAAGCTATCCGTTTAATGCAGTAGCTACTCGCTGCACTTGGTGATTTAAATTTATTTAAATTAATAAAAATGAGCTAAGCACGGTGGCTCACATCTGTAATCCCAGCACTTTTCGATTAAGGGGGAGGAGATCACCTGAGGTCAGGAGTTCGAGACCAACGTGGCCAACTTGGTAAAACCGTCTCTGCTAAAGATAGAAAAACCAGCTGGGCGTGGTGGCAGGAGCCTGTAATCCCAGGTACATGGCAGCTGAGGCAGGAGAAATGGCTTCAACCCGGAGGTGAAGGTTGCAGTGAGCTGAGATTGCGCCACTGCACTCCAGCCTGGGCGACAGAGACACTGTCACCACACACACACACACACATATTTAATTAAAACGAAATGTAAAATTCAGTTGCCTGGCCGCAGTAGCCACATTCCAAATGCTCGATGGCCACACGTGGCCGGCGGCTGCCCAGTGGGATAGCACAGACGGAGGCCCTTCCACTTCGGGGAAGTTCTGCGGGACAGCGGTGCCCTGAACCTGCGCGGGGGAGGGAGATGGCGCCGCAACGCGAGCAACAGGCCATTTCTAGGGCGGGGAAAGATCGCCAAGGCTTCTTCAACTGTAAGGGGCCGTCCCAAAACCAGGTAGCTCGCTGCTTTACCACGAACGACGCAAAATAGGACATTCAGCTTTTAAAAGCCCACCCAGTTCTCATCTCACCTCTCACACTGGTTAATTGCACTAAATGCTCTTCAGCCAGTCCTTTCGGCTCCCTCCTCCCTCCCCAGCCCGTTTCCACTTATTAGCAGCACCCCAAAAGCTGGCTCCGAGAGGCACTTGGGCCCGCCTCCCCGCCGGGGGCGCCAGACCGGCCGGACCTTCTCCGGTTCCTTATTCTTCTCTGGTTAACCCCGGCGTCCCGTTTCACCCCCGGCTGCTGCAAATCTCTTCTATAATCTTCACAAACCTGACCCCTCGTCCTAGCCTGCCCATCTTTCTCCGTCCCACGCCCGTCTCTCGGTCTGTCTCGGGCCGGGCGCGCCCGCGGGCCGCACCTGAGCAGAGGCGCTGCACCTTGAGTCGCCCATTGTAGACCCGGGCCACTTGCACCGTGAGCTCCTCCAGCTCGGTGCTCCCAGGCGCCTGCAGCAGGAATTGGCTCTCGTCGCCCCGCTTCACGTGCAGCAGAACCATGGCTGTCCCGCAGCGGCGCTGAGGCGGTGAGAAGGCCCGAGTTACGGGGCCCGCGGGTCCGGCCGGCCGAGGGTCGCTGGGTCGCGAGCAGCCACAACGCACTAACCGCCGCTCAGAGGCCGGAACCTCAGGCTCCTGCGTCCGCGTTGTGCGAGGGAAACTGCACTCACGCCCGGAAGTAGCTGTTGCTAGGAGCAACAGTGAAACAGAGAGAAGCTGCCAGTTCAAGCTCTGAACCCGAATGGGGAAGGCTGGGGTGCGCGGAGGCCCAGCAATCTACGCCCGTACGTAGCTACTGCTGGGGCAACTATCCATACAGCCCGAGAGGGCAGCTGATTCTGACCGGACCGGCGGAACGGGATTAGCGGAGTCCCCTCCCGGAAGTGGCTGTTGTCGGGGCAACTTTCCAAACACAGACCAAGCCGCTGAAGGGGAGGGCTGACCGCCCAATCGATTGGTCTGGGGCCCAAGATTCCACTCAGGGAGATACGTGGGCTGAGCTTGAGAGTTACTAGATGGGGAATGGGAGGGACGGCGGGCCCCACAGGCTTCGAATTCCGCAGCTGCCCTCCCACACACAACCGCTCCGCATCAAATGTCCCTTCCGCCTCCCTCGGTCTCCACTTCCGGCAACGCCTCCACGCTGCTTCCGGCCTAGGAAAGTTAGGCGGCGGCAACTTGGGACTCTGTCGCGCTGTTTGCTGCTGTTTGCGTGAGTCTGCTTTTCAGGACGGAGGGGCCAGGGCGAGTGTCTGCACTTCTTCGTTCAGGCTGATTTGGATGGCGAAGCTAGGGTAGCTGCAGCGGCTCCTTCCAGAGCGACCCTCTCCAAAATATCCAGCTATCCTCTAGCGGTCTCTTGTTGAAGGCAATCGGCGTCGGTCGCTCTTTCTTCTGGGCGCCTCAGATCGAGTCACTGCTCCTATGGAACTTATATTTTAGTGTGACAAAGAGAAAACAAAAATAAATGGACAGGCCGGGCGTTGTGGCTCACGCCTGTAATCCCAGCGCTTTGGAAAGCCGAGGCGAGCGGATCACCTGAGGTGAACATGGTCAACATGGTGAAACACCGTCTGTAGTAAAAACACAAAAATTAGCCGAACGTAGTGGCGCGTACCTGTAATTTCAGCTACTAGGGAGTCTGAGGTAGGAGAATCGCTTGAACCCGGGAGGTTGCAGTGAGCCGAGATCGTGCCACTACACTGGGCGACAGAGTGAGACTGTGTCTCAAAAATAATAAATAAATAAACGGACAATGCAAATGCAAATACAGGTCTAAAGAAAACTAAACAGGTTGATGGACTTCTTAGATCGGATAGTCAGGGAATGCCTTAAGGGGTGCTAATTGACAGAGTCCTTAGAACGACGAGTCTCGGCGAGATAGTGCAAGGCTTCTACTCGTTATCTCGTGGTTCTTGGAGCGGAGCAGTGCTGAGTAAATATTGATTTGACTGTTACAAGCCCTGCTACTACTTCCTCTTCCTTAAGCTTTGAAACTTTGGTCTTTTTGGTTGAAACTGCATCCTGAGGAGTGTGTTGGGGAGGGAGTGTGTGGGGAGAAAGTGTATGACCGTAGGCCCGGAAATGCCCAAAGCCAATCCGGGCTTCATAGGAAGATTGATAGACTGATAGTGGACAGAAGGGGGATGGAGCCTTGGGAGAGGGGAAGATGTGTTATTATTTCTAGTACTGTTGAAGCAGCGATCACCCAAATCCTCGAACAGGCATCTACTGGTCTGATTGGCAAATGTCTATCTCCCCAGAGGGAGAAATGGGCTGCTATGTTTTCTTAGCTCCTAACTGCTGGCCGTAAGGTCATACCTTTTCTCCTGAATCGAATTCTGTACTGATCAATTTCTTAAAATTTTACGGTATAGCCTTTCTGATAGAGAGCTACATGTCCACAAACTTATATATTTTACAGGCTCTCAATGTAATTTTTAATAATATTGAGAAATGTAGATAATTGTTGCATAAGAACCCATCTACTGACCATCCAGTTTTGGTTTTGTTTTTTTGTTTTTTAAAGATGGGATTTCACCATGTTAGTCAGGCTGGTCTTGCACTCCCGACCTCAGGTGATCCGCCCGCCTTGGCCTCCAAAGTGCTTGAATTACAGGGGTAAGCCACCACGCCTGGCCAGTTTTGTTTAAATATGTAGCTTAGGCCGGGCGCGGTGGCTCAAGCCTGTAATCCCAGCACTTTGGGAGGCCGAGGCGGGTGGATCACGAGGTCAAGAGATCTAGACCATCCTGGTCAACATGGTGAAACCCCGTCTCTACTAAAAATACAAAAAACATTAGCTGGGCATGGTGGCGCGTGCCTGTAATCCCAGCTACTCAGGAGGTTGAGGCAGGAGAATTGCCTGAACCCAGGAGGCGGAGGTTGCGGTGAGCCGAGATCGCGCCATTGCACTCCAGCCTGGGTAGCAAGAGTGAAACTCCGTCTCAAAAAAAAAAACAAAACTGTAGCTTAGTAATCATCTAGTAATTATTAAAATCACCGGGCCGGGCGCGGTGGCTCAAGCCTGTAATCCCAGCACTTTGGGAGGCCGAGGCGGGTGGATCACGAGGTCAAGGGATCGAGACCATCCTGGTCAACACGGTGAAACCCCGTCTCTACTAAAAATACAAAAAATTAGCTGAGCATGGTGGCGCGTGCCTGTAATCCCAGCTACTCGGGAGACTGAGGCAGGAGAATTGCCTGAACCCAGGAAGCGGAGGTTGCGGTGAGCCGAGATCGCGCCATTGCACTCCAGCCTGGGTAACAAGAGAGAAACTCCGTCCCCCCCCCAAAAATAAAATAAAATAAAATCACCACAGATCAAGCCCATGCAGTATCTTTTAAATTTATCAGCCCTGGTATTTGTTGTCCTCATAACATAACTTTATTATAACTGCATTCTGTTCAGCATTTTCTTTTCTTTCTTTTTTTTTGATGGAGTCCCTCTCGTGGCTGGAGTGCAGTGGCATGATCTTGACACATTGCAACCTCTGCCTCCTGGGTTCAAGCAGCTCTTCTGCCTCAGCCTCCTGAGTAGCTGGAAATACAGGCACGCGCCACCACGCCCAGCTAATTTTTGTACTTAAAGTAGAGACAGGGTTTCGCCATGTTGGCCAGGCTGGTCTCAAAGTCCTGACCTCAGGTGATCTGCCTGCCTCGGCCTCCCAAAGAGCTGGGATTACAGGTGTGAGCCACCACGCCTGACCCTGTTCAGCATTTTCTTAAGGTCCTTTTCTTCTCATACAGGTCATGTCTTAAAAATCTGTGGTTAGCTCTTTCTTGGTGTGGTTTCAGCAGTCATAAATCATTCAAAGCCTGCTGTCTTGCCCTCAGGCACCAAAGTAAGTTCTGACGAAGATGACGCCTAGTGTGGTCTTGTGAGTTGACTAGTTTTCTCTTAGTATTTTAGGTGCTGTTGCCTTTTTAGATGAAGAGCATCTTATGACCACTTGTATCTGTTAAGCAGTCCATCATGATTGACTTCCCAGTCTGGATCATTTATGAGTCATTCATGATGGCTGCTGGATGTCAGGCAGCCAGAAAGGAAACGTGCAAATTTTACTCTATTGATTGCTTTTTTGTTATTTTTTTAGGTCCTAACACACTACAGATACAGTTAAAGCCCCGACATTATCTCTCTCTAATCCCATTCTCTTATTCCCCTTCTCCAGAGATAAACTGCTATTCTGAATTTGGTGTTTATCATTTCCATTGCATGTTTTTTTATACCATTAACACATGTATGTACCCCTAAAAATATATCCTCTTGTGTATTTTAAATTTTATATAAATGGTCTTATTATTTTGTAACTTGCTTTATGACTACACAGTGAGATTTTCTGTTATGTTATTTTCACTGTTGTCAACTATTCCACTGTATGGCTATGCCACTCCATTCCCCTGTGGACGTTTATTTCTGTTTTTCATCGTTATAAACAATGCCTCTCATGCTCCACAGGTCCTAGTTTCTCTAGAAGTCGGATTTCTTGTTGATAGGGTAGATGAATTTTACCTGACATTGTTAAATTGCTCTTTAAAGCTGATGTGCCAGTTTACCCACTCTTTTTTTTTTGAGACAGAGTCTTACTCTGTCACCAGGCTAGAGTGCAGTGGCACGATCTCGGATCACTGCAACCTCTGCCTTCCAGGTTCAAGTGATTCTCCTGCCTCAGCCTCCCAAGTAGCTGGGACCATAGGCACATGCCACCACACTCAGCTAATTTTTGTATTTTTAGTAGAGACAGCGTTTCACCACGTTGGCCAGGATGGTCTCAATCTCTTGACCTTGTGATCCACCCACCTTGGCCTCCCAAAGGGCTGGGATTACAGGCATGTGCCACTGCCCCCAGCCCAGTTTACCCTCACCAACCATGTAAGAGTTCCTGTCTCCGTATAATTGGTAATGCTTGATATGGTCATACTTATTTTTCTAACATTAATAAATTGATGTTTTGATATATACATCAGTTTTTGCGAGTTTGCTTATCACATGTGTATCACCCTTGCTGTAGTTTCTGGCCCTGCAGAGCTCAGAATCTGGCTGTGGGTGATGTAAAAATGATGAAAACTAAGCTACAGACTGGAGAAGTATCTGCAAACCATATATCCAACAAAAGATGAGTAGAATCTAGAATATGTAAATAATTCTCAAAACTCAACAGTAAAAACAAAATCCATTTAGAAAATGGGCAAAATACCACAGACAGAGACTTCACTGAATGTAAGATGGCAAATAAGCCCTTGAAAAGATCTTCAGGCCAGGCATGGTGGCTCAAGCCTGTAATCCCAGCATTTTGAGAGGCTGAGGTGGCTGGATCACCTGAGGTCAGGAGTTCAAGACCAGCCTGGCCAAAATGGTGAAACCCATCTCTACTAAAAACACAAAAAATAGCTCGGCGTAGTGGCAGATGCCTGTAATCACAGCTACTTGGGAGGCTGAGGCAGGAGAATCGCTGGAACCCAGGAGGCAGAGGTTGCAGTGAACCAAGATTGTGCCACTGTACTCCAGCCTTGTCAACACAGCACGACTCCGTCTTAAAAAAACAAAACAAAACAAAAAACAAGAAAAGATCTTTATCATTAGCTATCAGGGAAATGTAAATTAAAACCACAATGAAATATCCCCTACTATAATAGCTAAACTGAAATATAGTGACAACAGCAAATGAGGACAAGAATATGGAGAAGCTGGGTTACTCATGCATAGCTGACGGGAATGTAAAATGGTAGGCACTCTGGAAAATTTCAAACAACTGACGCATGCCATTACCCTATGATCAAGCAATTGCAATCCTGGGCATTTATCCCAGAGATATGTAAACTTATGTTCACAGCAGCTCTGTTTGTAATAGCCCATAAACTGAAAACAACCCAGGGGTCGTTCAGTGGACGAATGGTTAAATAAAGAGCACATCCATACCATGGAATACTACTCGGCAATAAAAAGGAACAACAGACAGTACACGCAACCTAGATGAATCTCCAGAGAATTATGCTGAGTGAAAAAAGCCAACCCCAAAAGATTGCATACCACAATTCAATTTACATAACATTATTGAAGTGAGAAGATTATAGATGTGGAGATCAGAGTAGTGGTTGCCAGAGGATAAGGGCAGGGGAAAAGAAAATGCGATGAAAGGGCAGTGGGAAAAGGGCAACATGAGGCCTCCTTATGGTGATGGAAATGGTCTGTATCATTAGTGTCTTGGTCATGCTCTGGTACTGTAGTTTTTGCAAGATATGACTCCTGGGGGCAAGTGGGTAAAGGGGTACATGGGATCTCTGTTTTCTTATAACTCTGTATTAACCCACAAGTATCTTAAAATATTTTTAAGCCAATAATTCTGTAAGTTCTTAATAAAAGTTAATGAACACAAACTAAGAATTAAGGTAAGAATTTCAAATATCAATCAGGACTGAAAAAGGCAATACTAGCCTTGGCCTTTTTTTTTTAAATTTTTTTTGAGATAGGAGCTTTGTCCATCATCCAGGCTAGAGTATGGTGGTGTGATCATAGCTCACTCATTGCAGCCTTGATCTCCTGGGCTCAAGTGATGCCCTCCCTCAGCATTCTGTGTAGCTGGGACTACAGGCATGCATCACCATACCCAGGTAATTCATTTTTTACCACAGATGAAGTCTATGTTGCCCAGGCTGGTCTCGAACTCCTGGGCTCAAGCAATCCTCCTGCCTGAGCCTCCTAAAATGCTGGGAGTACAGGCATGAGCCATTTCACCTTGCCTAGCCTTGCCTCTTAATTTGGGTCTTTTTAGGCAGTCCCTTTTTCGGTCTGGTTATTTGTGTCCCAATTCCTCTTTGCCCCCCAGTTGTTCCTTCTACTTTGGGTAAGAAATATCACCATTTATGTCGTGTTATTTTCAAGTCAGCATGATTTTGAATGAGGGCCTCTCATCACATAAGTGCATGAACTTTTTTTTTTTTTTTTTTTTT